CATTTTTTTGGATTTTCCTGTTAGATATATTCATGCAATTCAGTAGATACTGACAATAAGAGACAATAACAATAGGAATACACTAATCATACTGCAACATTTTGGGTAATGTTTTAAAAGAAAGCAGAGTTCCAAACTTCACACCTAAGCCACCATCCCCTATTCCATTAACCAAATCCCTTGAAACGAACCAAACGCAGAATACAAGTATACCAGAGAGTCTTTTAATACAAAAGTCTGAAACCTACTGAGGAAACACTGGAACCATAGGGTAGCATGATATTGCAGTACTGGAATGCCTGCGTAATCCCTGCCTCTACCTTAGTAAGGCCTTTCAGCAATTATGACTGTTCAGTTATGTGAAATGTCCACCTAGGGCAGGGTTTCTCAATTTTGGCACCATTGACAGTTTGGGCTGGATAATTCTTTGTTGTGGAGGCTGTCCTATGCATTGAAGGAGGCTTAATAGCATCCCTGGCCTCTACCCACTAGCTGTCAGTAGCATCTCCCCACCTGGAACAACCAAAAATGTTTTCTGACATTGCCAAATGTCCTCTGGGGGCAACCTCTCCCCTACATGCCCTGATCAGAACCACTGCTCTAGAAAGAGAAAAACATCAGAAAGGGGTCCTGTCAATACAGGTCAATGATCTTATTTGGGATTTTCTGAAAAAGACACATCTAAGAGGATAACTGAGTTTATAAATTATAGACACATTTGTGAAATTTGTTTTGAAAGCTCTATGAGAGGAAGGCCTAGGTCTGTTTTTTCTGGCTATTGTATTCACAGCAGTTTCTGGCTCATGATAGTGTTTGACAATGTTTGTTAAATGAGCTAAAACATGTAGATACTATACCTTTAGTACTGGGCAATTACTATTCAATTTTCGGGTTAAACTATCATGATTTCTACTGTGTGTGCTGTCATTTCTTAAATGTATTTCTCTCACCCACTTTAACTAGAAAAAAATGCCACTAGTTAAATCATATCTAAAAATTAATTATTAAGACCTATGATGTAAGCAGTAACCACTAAATCCAAACCAAAATGACTCTTGAAACATGGAGGATACCAAAGGGAAGTAGGAACACTGCCATGGAAAATTAGCATAAGAACGAAAGTAAACCCCATCAGGAAATCTGTGCTGAAGATTTGGCAGCTGAGCGCATTAATATTTGGAGAAGATAAAAGAAATTTTAGGTGCTGTCACCTTTCTGTACAGATTGCTCTCTTCACTTGGCTTATTGTTCAGAACTCATCTCAAGGCCTCACTCTCTAAGTGTTCTCCAAATACCCTAGCCAAGTAGTTTTTAAACTTTTTTTTTAGAGCCACAGTCTCGCTTTCAAAATCTGATGAAATAAATGGCAATTACATATCAATTGAAAAAACAAAAGAAAAAAATCTGATGAAAACTATGAACCTCTTCCTAGAAAAATGCACTTAATACAAATTTACCATATAATTTCAGGGAGTTTGTGAACCTCCTAAAATCTATTGATGGATAATGGTTTCTCTCATTCCTGCATGACCATTAATATTTATTGTCCATACCATACAATTTAGCAATTCAAGTAAGTGGTGAAATTTAGTTTCTCATCCAAATCGACTTAAATCATGTAGCTTTTAATCTGTCACCGGGCAGCTGGTAGGCTGAGAATCTCATAAAATAGAGTAAGTGCCTATAAACTGTAAAGTACTAACAACACATAGCCTTAGGTTATGTTCTTCATTTCTATCTCTCCAACAAGATTATAAAGAACTTGGGAGTAGGGACTGTATATTGTAACTCTCCTGAATACTTTTTGGTGTCCAGTAAAACTGAATGAATGTTTCTTAATGTCTATCTCAAGCAAGGAACTCTGGCTTATTTCCACAGTTGAGGGTGGTGGTAGGAGTAACCATTCCTAATCTGCATCCAAAAATAACACAGAAAGACCAAACACTTTATTCTGTTTGAGGAAGACTGGCTCTGAGCTAACATCCATTGCCAATCCTCCTCTTTTTTTTTTTTTTTTGAGGAAGATTGGCCCTGTGCTAACATCTATTGGCAATCTCCTTCTTTTTGTTTTTTTTTCTTCTCCCCAAAGCTCGAGTACATAGTTGTGTATCATAGTTAGAGTTGTAGCTCTTTTATGTGGGACGCCACCTCAGCATGGCTTGATGAGTGGTAAGTAGGTCTACGCCTGGGATCCAAACCACGAACCCCGGGCCGCCGAAGCAGAACGCGTGCACTTAACCGCTGTGCCACCGGGCCAGCCCCAACCAAACACTTTATTTGCTTTACAAGAACTTCGCTTGCCTAGTCCTATCTTTGTAAGTCACGTACTAGTTCACCTACTCACCAACTCCAGTACTATAGCTACTATAGAGAGCTAAACATCTGAAAATCTTGAAGACTCAGTAAAGCATGAATTGGAGATAGAGGAAAAAAAGAAATCCATCAAATTTCTTTCCTCAAAACTGGCATCTGCTAAATTCTTTGAATCATGTTGTCAAAATTCATTGCAAAGAAGATGAACTGTGTTTGGAAGGTCAAGCCAACAGATAATAGGTGTAAAGATTCATAAGCTCTTCTCTTTGCTTAACCTCTTCAACGAATGTTTCATGGTGAGTTCTACATTAATTTTAATTTTCAGGTATAAAGTGGTAGCATATAATGAACACCACAATGGACAACAAACCCCAGCTCTGTTAAAAGCCAAGGGGCTCTGGATAAATCCTACCCTCTTTTAGAGTCCAACTCAAGATACCATTCCACGGACTCTTTTTTTTTGGGGGGGGGGGGAGGAAGACTAGCCCTGTGCTAACATCTGATGCCAGTCTTCCTCTTTTTGCTGAGGAAGACTGGCCCTGGGCTAACATCCATGCCTATCTTCCTCCACTTTATATGGGACGCCGCCACAGCATGGCTTGACAAGCAGTGCGTCAGTGCAAGCCTGGGAGCCGAACCTGCAAACCCTGGGCCAACAAAGTGGAGTGCATGCACTAACCACTGTGCAACCAGGCTGGCCCCTGAACTCTTTTTTTTGACTAGCCTTATTTCCCTTGATTTTGAGTTGCCTAGCATTTTTGTCCACAGTCCTTCAGGTCACATTCTCATAAAATGTATTGGTCAGAATTGTGTACACAAATGCTTGTCTTATCTCCTTATCCAGACCAAGTTCTGTGTAGCATATCTGCGTAGCACAGCATTAGCTACACATTTAGCACTTGCTAAAGGATAGCTAAAATAGAATAAAGTTATATGACTTATCCAGGACTCAATTTCTTCTTCTCTAAAAACAATACTAATAATCCCAGTTCCCCAACATCTGTATCACAGATCAAATCAAGGTGAATGTGGTGACAGAAGGCCTCTAATAGTTATACAGGAAGAAAATAGGTCATTCTTCTCATGGTCAGGAACCTGTTCCTTGGAGATCCTACATACAAATGAGCAGAAGCCCATTCTCACCAGACTGTTTCTTTGGTAGGTAACGGAAGAAGTAAGTCCCTAAGATCCTGTTCTGTCACTTCTTTTTCACTTTTCTTTGACAGTGGCTGCTAGTCCACAATGCTTGGTTCACCCTTTGAAAAAAAAACAATATAAAAAAAACCCCAGAATAATTCTAGTCCTTTTAAATCTAATTTACAAAGAAGCCAAGAAGACAAATAAGACACATAAAATCAGGAAGCACTTTGGAGGAAAGTCACTATGCAAACAAAATATATTAAAGAGCTACTTTCCCACTTCTAAATTCTGTGCCTAATTTCCAACTTAAATTGGTAGCTTTTAAAAATCAGGCCAACATAGAAACAAACAAAAAGGATCAAAGCAGAAAATTGAAATCAAAAACAAAAACAAGAGATTAACCAGAAGGTAGATTAGATGGCTATCAGAAATAAGATAAAGACCTCTCCCTTCAAAACAACAGCTCTCTTAGTTTTACCTAATGTTACAAAGACTAATTAGACAGAATGAAGGTCTGTTAACACAAGCCACAAATTCAAGTAAATCTGCAGACTCAAATCTAGTCTTTGTTAATCATAACAAAGGAAAAGAATAAACAAATGAATCACAAATTTGCTGCTAAAATGTGCAAGTTTTAGAATTTAATTATTGGTATATATTTAATACAACAAGAGGAAAGCCAAAACACAAAGAACACCTGGAGGTGAACAGCAGGAAGGTCATAAAAACAGTAAAGAACAAAACTTTACTACTTGAGGATCATGGTTTTTCTGTGGAAAATGTTTTGATGCCCCCTCTCCCCTAGAGAAACAAAAACATTCTACAAATGATATAAATATTCCTAAATACCACAGTGAGTGACAGAGGGCTATTATGAACAATACACAATAAATTTAGAAACAAATGGCTCAATGCATCTGTGGTTATTAAAAAATAAGTTATTACCTTATAAAACTATATACGACCTTCCTTAAAACAGCTAATTTACTCCATATTCATCCTTACTGTTCTTTTCTCAATCTCTACTTAGACAAAGTAGTTCCAAGATTTTAGAAGGGAGTTCTTAGTTTAGGGAACTAAAATTCTGGGGAGAAGGAGTTAGGCAAGACCGCACCCAGAATTATTAGCCTCTCATAACATCTCACTATTCATTCGCACATTAATGCAACAAGTTTATTTTTGGTATCACTTTGCCTGATACTGTCATAAGCACCTGTGATTCAACAAGGAATAAGGATTAGCATAATTCCTACTTTCATGGCCCTTAAAGTCTAGTGAGTCAGTAAACAAGCAACTACAAATAGGATATTTATTTAAAAATAAAACGAGGTATTTCAATTTCCATGATATAAAGGGAAAGGAAGGAGCTATGAGAGGCAGTATAATAGGGGGAACTAATCCAAACAGGGAAGTCAAGGAAAAATCTCCATAATTAAGGCACATTTGAGACATGAGGATGAAAAGGAATTGGTTAGGTTAAGTTTCCTAGGGTAAGCACCAAAGCTTCCTCCTTGGTAGTCAAATGAAGAATAACAGTACTCCTTCACCTTCTCTCTTATACCAGTTTGCCAGCTTTGTTTCAGGTTCATCGTGTTTCAAACTTCGAGACATCCTGAATAGCTTGCACATGAGCAGGAAGGAGAATCCTACAGAAAAGCCTGTTCTGCCACAGTTTCCAATCACTTGGTAGGTAAGACTTAGTTGGACCTAACTTCCAGATATAAAGTTCAAGTTAACTCAAAGTTAGAGATAAGGACACAGCAAATAGGGACACACTTTCTGCATATGGGGTACTACTAAATGGCAACAAAAAAATCTAAAAACCTTTCCCATGGAATTGAAAAATGATTCCAAAGAGATTTGATTCTAAAAAAAATAAAAATATAAAGACCTGAAGAGAGGGAAGCCAACAAAGAAATATGAAATAAGGCAGTGAACTCAAGTTTGAGAATTTCAACAGAGACCCTTAGATCACCTAGCCATTATTAAGTAGAGGCATCTTCAGCAAACAGTAACTGCTACTTCTGCTTAATCTCCAACTGGCCAAGGTACAAGCTATTCCCTTTGCCTAAAGCTATACCTAGTATCACCGGCTTAGCTGGTATCATCAAAGGCTCTGACTCATGGACAAATCTCAAGATGATGATAGGGCTTAGCCTCTTTGAATAAAACAATGTGTGTTTAGTGGGTGAAAGAGTGTACACTCAGTGTCCTAAGTTAGAGGACACTTGACAATCTTCTCAAGTGTTTAAATCTTCACAGAAAAATGTATTGTTTGGTCTTAAAAATAAAACGAGGTATTTCAATTTCTTGTAAACACCTTTGGAAGGTAAAAGGATTAACTGGTCTGATATCTCATCTTCATCAAAGGGTTGTTTTTACTAGTGGCATCACTACCCCAGTGCCAGCATAAAAAATACATAAAAACAGCTCAGTTACTACTCAATTTGTTTTATTAATAAAAGAGGCAGAAGAAAACGCAAATCAACTTTACAAATGTAACTTATCAAGCAAAGAAACTAGAAGTATTTTTCATTATAAACAAATCAGAGATCCAAAATTTTTGATCCAGAGAGTAGAAATGGATTCATTTAAAATAAACTAAAGCCGGTGACGTCAGCATCATGGCAGAGTGAGCTTTCCTGACAGACTCTCCCCCGATAAAATACAACAAAAACGACATTCACATACCAACAAAGGACACACACAACACAAAAAACGTCTGAGAGACTCACACAGATGTGCATCTGAAGGTGAAGGTGCTGGAACCCCTGGAGGAAGTGGGGAGAGGTAAGGAGAAATCCTCCCTGTCCGCATTTGATCAGTGACTCCGGGTCTGCGTGGCTCCCAGAGAAAGAGCGGAGAGGGGCGGCCCTCTGCAGGAAAACGATTGCTCTCCAAGTTCTCTCACAGCCTGTGGGAAATTCCCATATGGAGGAGACAGAACTGCTGTGGGGGTGCTGTCACCATCTGAGCACCCCAGGAGAGCAGACAGTGAGGGAAGAATGAGAAGCCCCCGGGGATCTGGCAGATGAAAGCGGGCCCCAACACCCGGCACTTCAGCACAACCGGTCAGCCAGGAATGCAGTGGGCTCAGAATACACTGCTCTTGATCCCCACCTAGTGGCGGCAGGTGGAAACTGCGACCAGATATGTTTAGGATGACGAAAAACAAGCCAACATGGGCAGGCACAATGTAAAAATATACTAAATCTCCAGACTTGAAGGAAAATGACAAGCACCCAGGATTCAACCCTGAAGGCACAGAAATATATAACCTAAACAACAGAGAATTCAAAATAGCTATCATAAAAAAGCTCAACGAATTACAAGAAAACACAGACAGACAATTCAATGAATTCAGGAATTTCTTCACAAAAGAGATTGAAACCATAAAGAAAAGCCAATCAGAAATGTTGGAGATGAAAAACACACTGGAGGAAATAAAGGAAAATCTGGAATCTTTAAAGAACAGAGCTGACAATATGGAGGAAAGAATTACCATTATTGAGGACAGGAATGCAGAAATGCTCCAGATAGAGGAGGAGAGAGAACTAAGACTAAAAAGAAATGAAGAAATTCTCTGAGAAATATCTGACTCAATTAGGAAATGCAACATAAGGATTATAGGTATTCCTGAGGGAAAGGAGAGAGGAAAAGGCACAGAGAGCTTGTTCAAGGAAATAATAGCTGAGAACTTCCCAAATATGGTAAAGGAGCTGGAAATACCAGTGAATGAAACCAGTAGATCACCTAAATATATCAACATGAAAAGACTCTCTCCAAGGCATATAGTAGTAAAGCTGGCAAAAGAAACAATATTAAGGGCAGCTAGACAAAAATTAAAAAAAAAAAAAAAGTACAAAGGAATTCCCATCAGGCTCTCAGCAGACTTCTTGACAAAAACTTTACAGGCTAGCAGAGACTGGAATGATATATTCAAAATTCTGAAAGACAAAAACTTTCAGCCAAGAATACTCTATCCAGCAAAAATATCCTTCAAATATGATGGAGAAATAATAACTTTCCCAGATAAATAAAAACTAAGGGAGGTTCACTGCCACAAGAAATGCTCAAGAAGGCCCTCATGCCTGGAAAAAAAAAAAAAGAGAGAGAAAGGGGATACAAAGCTTCAAGCAAGGAAAAACTAGACAAAATCAGAAAAATGGCAGCTCTCTATCAGAACAGGTTAGCAAACAGTTAATTATAAAAATCAAAGATTAAGGGAAGGAAAACACCAAAAATAAATATAACCTCATCACTTTAAACACACACTCACAACACAATATGGAAAAAGTTGTGACAATAATAGCTTAGAAGGGCTGAAGAGGCAAGGGATCAAATCAACTTAATCTAAGGAAATAAGAGGTCATCAGATAACGAACTATCTCAACCACGAGAATTTTTATACAAACCTCAAGGTAACCACTAAACAAATAATCAGAACAGAGTCACATAAGATAAATAAAGAGAAAACTAAAAGAATCATCACACAGAATTACCAAACTGAATTGGTAGTTGTCTTGACATGAGTACAGCCATGTCTGGCCGCTCCATTGACCTACAGCCACCAGCACAAAAAGAAATATAAAAGCTGCTTTCTGCGTGGTGG